CAGTATGTACCTTCTAAGTTGCAAATTGCAGACATACTCAGTAAGCCCATTTCTGTTGCTCAATTTGAAGAACTAAAGGCAAAGCTAACTATTAAATCTGACTATTAAATCTGCCACAATAAAAATGTTGATTAAATATTTATAATGCTTCTTTTCTTTGATTGACATCTAATGAAGAACTGTAGTATTAGCTACAATGAAGCAATGAGCTACTGTGTTACAGAAAGCAGTGATTAAGCTACTATTGTTTAAGGCAGTGAAACAGTGATTAATTCATGTTGGCACTATGTGGTGGTTCATTGATGTGTTACAGCTACTGTTGTCTAAAGCAGTGAAGTAGTGATTAATTCATGTTGGCCCTATGTGGTGGTTCATTGATGTGTTACAACTACTGTTGTCTAAAGAAATGAAGCAATGATTAATTCATGTTGGCACTATGTCGTGGTTCATTAATGTGCTACAGTTTGTAAGTTACTGATATGCTCAAAAGTTTTCTTAGAATGTCAACCATTGTAGTAGTTTGAGAAGTTTCAAAAGAAGAAGATTTTATGTTTCAGCAAATTTAAGAATGTCTACAGAATTAATGTTTCAGCAAATTGAAAGAATGTTTACAGAATTAGAGTTACAGAGCAGAATTTCATACTTGCCTAATGTCTATAGATTTTGAGTTATAGAGCAGAATTTCAGTCTTTCCTAATGTCTACAGATTTTGAGTTACAGAACAAAAATAGAATTTCAATCAGTCAGAATTTCAGTCTTGCCTCTCTGAATTTTAGTCAGAATTTCAGTCTTGCCTCCTTTTTGTTTGTCAGCTAAAGCTACAAGGTTGTTCAGTTTGAGGGGGGCTGTTAGCTACAAGCTGAATTGGCAAGCTCAAGCTACAAAGTAGTTCAGCTTGAGGGGGGCTGTCAGTAAGACAAACCTAGGCCAAGTCTAAAACACTATGGTTTTAGACTTTAGTTTCAGTTTTACCAAAACTGTGTCGTTTTGACCAGTTTCCTTTTCTTCTCTATTATTTGTAGAACTCCAACTGAACTTCTCTGCATATATAATGAGAAGTCAGCCATATTTTGATTCTTAAGCTCTGTCAATATAAAGTTCTGTTAATACCAATTTTCATTCTCTTTCTTTCTCCCCAATTCTTTCTTTAAGCTTCAACACCTTTACTTTCAAAATTCCACAGCTACAAGTCCAAAGTTTTATATCTTGATGCCCGTATTGTTTTAGTAAATAACGTAGATTATATAAAATATTAAGTGTTTTATTGAAGCATACTGAAGCATCAACGAATGAAGACTTAACAAATACTAGCTCCAATTCGACGAAATGTTCTATTAGTTAGATGATGTTAGTTACTGTAATTAGTTAGTCTGTTCCGTTAGTTAATAACAGTTAGAAGTTAGTTAATCTAGCTCAGCTTCTTAGCTGTGATGAGTAAGTTAGAGTTGGTTACTAACAAACATGTTGTATATAAGAACTAACTACTGTAATTTTCTCATCAATTTTCTGTAATCTTTGATTCTTAAATAAGAAATATTTTCATTTCAGAATTAGTTTTCTCATGGTATCAGAGGTTCATCTTTCCACCATAATCTGAAGCAAAGTTTCTTCCTTCTAAATCCATTACGCTTCTGCATTCATGATGAATATTCCAACAAATGAAGATCCTATCAACTTTTCTAGTCCTTACTATCTGCACCCCAACGAGAACCCTGCTGCTGTATTAGTTTCTCCAGTTCTCAATGGCCCTAATTACCATTCCTGGATGCGAGCTATGAAAGTGTCTTTATTGTCAAAGAACAAGTTGAAGTTTGTGGATGGCACAATTAAAGCACCTTCCAGTACCGATTCTCTATTTCCAGTTTGGGAGAGATGCAATACAATGGTATTATCTTAGCTCACTCATTCACTCTCTCCATCAATGACTAATAGCATATTATGGATTGATAAAGCGTATGATGTATGGACTGACGTTCATGAAAGATTTTCACAAGGGGATATCTTTAGAATATCGGATTTGCAAGAAGAAATCTATAGTTTTAAACAAGGAGATAAAGATGTAACTGATTACTTTACTGAGTTAAAGGTTCTTTGGGATGAATTAATGATCTTTAGGCCTTTTCCTTCATGTACATGTTCTACTCCTTGTTCTTGCAGGATCTTGAATACTTTTAAAACCTATCAGAATAGTGATTATATGATAAGGTTTCTTAAGGGTTTGAATGATTCATTTTCTGTTGTAAGATCACAAATCATGCTTATGGATCCCTTGCATTCCATAAACAAGGCTTTTTCTTTAGTTGTTCAACAAGAAAGACAATTGAGTTTGGGAGTTGCCAAGGTGTTTGTAAATAAATCTGATCAAGAAAATTTTTAGTTTCCTTCAAAATCTCAGCAACAATTTCAACAGCCAAATTTTCAATCTTTAAAGTCACAACAAAGCATAAAGTTCAATACTCAATCTTTTGGCCATCAAGGTGGTGGAGATAATCGTTTGTGTACATACTGTGGTAAGACGAGGCACACAATAGAAACATGCTATAAAAAGCATGGTTACCCTCCACGATACAAACCTAGGAATTCTACTACCCATAATGTTGTTGTTAAAGAAGAAAATAATAGTGTTGAAGGTCTGCAATTGAATTATGATGTGCCAGCTACAAACCAAGAAAAGTCTGGTCCTAATGTTTCTCTTACTCCATAACAATACCAATAGATCTTAGCTTTGCTACAATCAGCAAGTTTTGGTCAACTTTCACACATTACCAACCAAGTTGTGTCACAACCCCATCAGCCAACATTAACCCCTCATTTTTCTTCCACATCAGGTACTCATTTAGCTTTATCATGTACCTCTAAATCACCATTATAGATAGTGGATAGAGGAGTCACTGATCACATTACACATTCCTTGTCTTGTTTTGATACTTATAAACAAATTAAACTGATCTTGGTCACCTTACCAAATGGCTCGAAAATCACTGCACAATATGTTGGAACAGTTTGTCTTATTTAACAACTCATTCTCACAGAGGTCTTATATTTACCTTAGTTTTCTTTCAAACTTATCTCTATAACCAAACTCACATCATCATTGAATTGTTGCTTAATTTTTCAAAGCTCATGTTGCTTAATTCATATCTAACTATATGGAAGACAATTGGTTCAGCTAAGTTGCTTGATGGCCTGTATGCAATGTTTAAGTCTTACAGTTCCAGTGTTATGCCACCTGCTAAGATCACATTACCTTCTCCAGCTTCAATAGTTTCAACTACTACATTTTTTTATCTTTGGCATCATTGCCTTGGTTATATGTTAGACTCTAGAATGAAACTTTTGTCTCCTTGTATTCCTAATCTCCAATTTCATAATAATGAAGCTTGTACTGTTTGTCATTTGGAAAAATAGAAGAAGTTACCCTTTCCTGTTATTAATAGTAAAACAGTTAAATGTTTTGATCTGATTCATGCAGACATTTGGGGTCCTTTCTCAATATGTTCCATTCATGGTCATAGATTTTTCTTAACAATTGTTGATGATTACTCTCGATACATATGGATCTTCTTACTTAAACAAAAATCAGAAGTTAGTAATCTGATTCAATCCTCTTTCTTCCTTGTTGAAACTCAGTTCTCTAGCAAAATTAAAGCCATTCGTACAAACAATGGTTCTGAGTTTGCCATGCCTATTTTCTATGCTTCCAAAGGATTTCATTATCAAACCTCTTGTGTTGAGACACCACAACAAAATGGTGTGGTGGAAAGGAAGCACCAACACTTGTTGAATGCTGCACGTTCTCTATTATTTCAATCTAATTTACCCAAACTATACGGAATTATGTTGTTCTTCTTGCCATTCATTTGATCAATAGGCTTCCTACTCCATTGTTGCAAAAACAGGTCCCCATTTAAATTGCTCTATAACACTACCCCAGATTATAACTCTTTAAAAACTTTTGGTTGCCTTTGCTTTGCTTCCACTTTATTAGCTCATAGAACCAAATTTGATTTCAGAGCTAGGAAGTGCCTTTTCTTAGTTTTCCATCTGGCACCAAAGGCTTTATCCTCCTGGACTTAAATTCTAAAGAAATATTTGCCTCTCGTAATGTCTTATTCTATGAGTCCATTTTCCCATTTGTTGTTAGTAATCAATCTTCCATTCCATTACCACAGGATAAACCTTTACCAAATTTTGATCCTATTTTATCTTCAACACAATCTAGCCATTTGACAAATTTAGACAATACTTCTGATCAAACCACCACTTTGCCAAACACTAATGGTGATTTAGCTCATTCAAAAAATTCTCTTCCTTCTTCTAATCACCCTGTCACCAGATTATCTCAAACATATCGTAAGCCTCCTTCTTACCTGTATGATTATCATTTCAACCTGGCCACAACAGTTGAATCCACCAATTCCCAGTCAGGTATTCTTTACCCTTTGTCTTCTGTACTATCATATTCATCTTTGTCACCTAAACACTTACATTATACCCTTGCTATTTCCATAACTATTGAACCAAAGACTTATAATCAAGCCATCAAAAATGACTGTTGGAGACAAGCCATGCAAACTGAAATTCATGCAAACTGAAATTCATGCTTTAGAACAAAATAATATTTGGACCCTCACTGATCTCCTTCTTGGAAAAACTCCCATTGGCTGTAAATGTGTTTATCAAATTAAACGAAAGGTAGATGGCACAATTGAGCGTTACAAAGCTCGTTTAGTTGCCAAAGGCTATACCCAAATTGAAGGTATACACTACTTTGACACATTCTCCCCTGTTGCTAAACTTACCACTATCAGACTGCTTCTTGCATTGGTTGCTTCCTCAAATTAGCATCTGAAACAGCGCGACGTAAATAATGCTTTCCTTCATGGTGATTTATCTGAAGAAGTTTACATGATCTTGCCTTTAGGTTTCAGTTCTTCTCATCCCAATCAGGTTTGTCATCTTCAAAAGTCCCTTCATGGACTCAAATAGGCTAGTCGCCAATGGTTCTCAAAGCTTACTTCAACTTATTGTCTTTCGGCTACACTCAATCCTCCTCTGATCATTCTCTTTTTTTCAAACACTATAATGATTCCATTACTGCTCTCTTGGTATATGTCAATGATGTCATCTTAGCAGGAAATAATCTTCAGGAAATTGATCATGTGAAGGCTTACCTTGATGCTGCCTTCAAAATAAAAGACCTTCATGATCTCAAATTTTTCCTTGGATTGGAAGTAGCATGTTCCAAGCATGGCATTACCTTATATCAGTGCAAATATGCCCTTGATATTTTATCGGATGCTGGCTATCTAGCTTGTAAACCTACAACCACACCAATGGACTCTTTTGTTAAATTGTCTAACATTGTTGGTGATTTTCTTTCAGATCCTACTTATTACAGAAGGTTGGTTGGTCGTCTGCTCTATTTGACCTCTACCAGACTTGACTTATCTTTTGCTGTTCAGCAATTAAGTCAGTTTCTTGACAAGCCTACTTCAGCTCATCTTCAAGCTGCCAATCGTGTTCTTTGTTATGTTAAAAGTTGTCCAGCTTATGGCTTGTTCTTCCTTGCATCCTCTAATCTTACATTGAAAGCATTTAGTGATAGTGATTGGGCTAGATGCCCTGCTACTCGCAAATCTATTACAGGTTTTTATGTATTTCTTGGCTCATCTCTAATAAGCTAGCGTTCTAAGAAACAAACAACAGTTTCCGAATCATCTTCCGAAGTTCAGTATCGTGCTCTTGCTTCTACGACATGTGAACTTCAGTGGCTGCATTACTTACTTCAGGATCTTCATGTTCTTCATTCGCATCCTGCATTGCTTTTCTATGACAACAAATCTGCACTTTAGATTGCTGCCAATCCTATATTTTATGAGCCTACCAAGCACATAGAAATTGATTTTCATATTGTAAGACAGAAGGTTCAATTGGGTCTCATTCATCTCATGCCTTGTTCTTCCTCTGATCAGTTAGCCGATTTACTCACTAAGGCTCTTTCTCTTGCACCATTTCGAGCTAATTTGTCCAAGCTGGGAATGTTAAGTATCCATTCTCTAGCTTGCGGAGGGATATTGAAGCATACTGAAGCATCAACGAATGAAGACTTAACAAATACTAGCTCCAATTCTATTAAATTAATGTTCTATTTGTTAGATGATGTGAGTTACTGTAATTAGTTAGTTTGTTTCATTTGTTAATAACAGTTAGAAGTTAGTTAATCCAGCTCAGCTTCTTAGCTATGATGAGTAAGTTAGAGTTGGTTACTAACAAACATGCTGTATATAAGAACTAACTACTGTGATTTTCTCATCAATTTTTTGTAATCTTTGATTCTTGAATAAGAAATATTTTCATTTCAGAATTAGTTTTCTCATGTTTCATAATTTATACTCTAAAAGAATATCATTTGTAATGTAAAAGAGGTGCTGGTAGGGACTTATAAACATAAGGAGGAGGAGGTGAAGGAGATGGTGGAGGTGGTGACTTGTAATCATACAGTAGTAAAGGGGATGCTTTTTGAGGAGAAGGCCATTTATAGTAATAAGGAAGTGGAGGTGACTTGCGCGGCAGTGGTGGTGGAGGGCACATGTAATAGTAACGAGGCGAAGGTGGAAAAGGTGGTGGAGGAGACTTGTAATGGTATGAGTTTGTCCATTTTGGCTGTACTCCAATCTCTTCAAACAAAAAAGATTAATCAAAGGACTAGTTTTGAATGAGAACAACAAAGAATGGAGCTCTTTATATAGTGATATATCTTCAAGCTTTAGACCAATTGTTTACTTGTAAATGAACTTAACTTGTCGACACTTACAGTAATACTAATTATTTTTTAAGTCTTTTAGCTCACAATGGGTTCCACTTGTCCAATTGCGAGTTAATCCCACGTCAGAGTTGTGAGAGAAAGTTTGTGAGATTGGGTTGTGAGCCAATCTTTATTGTTAATATTTTAGGCAGTAAGTTGCAAATAAATTGACATATTAGCTAGCAGTACAAAGAATAACAATTCTTCTCCTCAAAAACTTTCCTCTCTTGACTTAGTAGTTGACATCCTTCGGCCGGTGTTAATTATGTGAAATATATATAATAGGTTCAATGAACAAAGCTCTCAAATTTAACTTAATTGCTCCCAATTCAAGCTCTTTAGGATGAATCAACGACTATCTCTAGCTTCAATTAATGTATTGTTGTTTATGACAATAACTTATAGCTGTCGAATTACACTTTTATAATATTTTAGTTGAGTTGGATGCTTTAAAAGTAATTTTTCAGTCGAGACAAGTCCTAAATTAGAAATTGGTATGGTTCTAATGATGTTCGTGATCTGTTTTCTTCAACACAAGTCTCTCCTATTTCTTGTACTCCTTGTGAAGCAAATGTCATAGCTCATTGTAGATGCAAAAAATCTACCATTACAGAAATAGGGTCTGATCCCATGAGGTTGAGGCCACTGACAATCCGCTAGACCTACACACATGAAGAGACAAGCTTGAAGCTTACAGAAAACACTAGGGTGGTGTTTTCTGTTGGCACTCCAACGCTAAAGTCAACAAGGCTGAAAGAGGATACTTAATAAGAGTTACGGAGAAGAAGGATTACCGGGAGTCTTGTCGGAGGCCAGGTGTTAGACCGATCATCACGGTCTAAAAATTAAACCTAATTACCGTAGTAGCGGTAAGCAGGATCAAATCCACAGGGAGCAAGACTAACAACCTAATGTATTTTAAGTAGCAGAAATGAAATTGGCAATGGATTAATGAAACTAAATAAACTAGATGCAAATAATGAAATAGTGAAATTAAAACAAATAAAGACTTTATAATAAAAATGTTGCCGTTACGGTTTTGGTTCGACACGAGACCGACTCACACAAGTCTCCTCCACCCTCTACGATCCCCTAAACCTACAAGGCAAGGTAAATCAATGAAATGGATTCCCGAAACTCTAGGTATAATCTATCCTGTCTCACCCGATCACTCAAGTTCGATTGGTTAAAGACTATCATTGAACGTCAATAAACGCTACAAGGCAATACCACTAGTTGGTACGCGATTAACAAATACAATTTGTCAATACGTAATATCCAATCAACCAACTTCACAATAAACGCAACAATAGTAGAAATTAAATTAAATCCGAACACAACTCAATTACAATCGATGCGAAGTAATGAAAAGCAATATTCATCATTTAATTATTCCAAACCAACGTTTATCATTCAGCAAGTTCTATGAAAACATTAAATCATAATGGACAACAATATTCCTCACAAGTTATGCTCAAATCATATTAAAGTATCGAAATCAATCATGAAACGAAAACAAATATAATCCGAAGCACAATACTACCAAATGTCCTATAATCGGGCTCATCCAACTAGTCGAGAGCTGATGAGGAGAGTCGTGGAGTCAATCCCGATCTCGCCTATGCCGTAACAGACAACCGAGAGCTTAGCCGCTCATGGTGGTGATGACGGAGGCCGAAACGGTGGAAACGGAGCTGACCATGGCGGAGAGGAGGTAACCGACAGTGATATGATGCGAAAAGGGGCGAAAAAAACCAACGGACAGCCTGGCATACGAACAGTCGCGGTTCGCCGAAAAACGTTAATTTTCCGGCGGGTCTCCAGAAAACGGTGGCGGAAATGGGATCCGAAGGTACTGATAGAAAGCTCTGGTGATGGGGAGTTCAGATCAGGTCCTGGAGAGGTGAGAAGTCGTCGGAAATGAGCAGGATCTGGCCTGGAAGATGAAGAGTTGCGGCAGCTAAATCGCGGATTTCGGCGGTTTTCGCGGCGGCTGAAGCTAGGGAAGTGTAGATCCAGCTGTGGGGAAGGTGGATCGACCCTTGGGGAGCCGAATCGTCTCTGAAAAGTGGCCAAAACTAGCCAAGAAGATGAAACGACGCAGTGGAGGGAAGATGAAACGTCGCGGCAGCTTCCGTGTTTCGCGGTGGTGGTCCGGGACGATGGGCTGACGGTGATCTGTGGTCGAGGAAGCCGAAGAGTCACCAGAGGTGGAAGACGAAGGGTCACCGGAAAACTTAATGGATGGCAGCCTCCCTGTTCACGCGATCTGCATTTTTCTTTTATAGAATAATTTGTAAAATTTTGTTTAGTCCCTACACAATTGAAAAATGACAAAATCAGCCCCTTAAAACATGACATTTTACCCCCTAAACAGCATAAATGAGACAAAATCACCCTTAATCCACAAACCACAACCTAATATCAACTCATATACTTTCCAAAATCATTCCAAACCGTTAAATTCATCAGAAAAATATTAGGAAGCGATTTTCGTGAATAAATTCATAAATTCTTTAATTGTCTCAATATACTTCAATTTAATCACAAATGGGGTATTTTTATCACCAAAATAGAGTCACGTTCATGACTCTAACACCAGGACCACGACGAATGTGTAGAATTCTCAAGAGCAAGAATTTAGGAGTAAGTAGGTGATTTTGAGTAGTGAGGATTGAATGAATTATGAGAGGGCAAACCTCTGTTTATATAGTGAACCCAAGGGGTTGGAATCTTAGTAGGACATTGAGTCCTACTTTGGGAGATAATCACTATTAGGAAAGAAATAGGATTTCTTGCCCTTATCAAATTAAGTTTACTAGTTTGAGTAAGATTCAGAATCTTAATAGGAGAGGAAATATAATGGGATTCTAATTTTCTATTTATGGACTGTTGCAAGCTAATGGGTCAGAACCCAATTTAGCTTAACTTGTAGGGTAGCCCAACTCATAGAGTGGGCAGTTCACAAGGTAACTTTAAACGTAGGCCCAATCAAAATTGGGCTAAAGCCTTGGGTTGTGACATATTTATTTCGTTATTGGGCCTCGTCAAGCCCAAAACGATTTTTTGCCCACACAATTAGCCCATCACTCTCTAAGTTAAAGGGTATTTAGCTTAGAAAGTAGATTTAATCGAATGAGTTCAGGTTGAGCGGATCAGTGCTAGCAACTCATTAGGTCAGATAGACCGTTGTTTGGAGAAAATTCGCTCAACCAACTTGAGTTGGGAGGAATTTGCTGGATCAACCTAAATTGGGAGGAGTTTGTTTGACCAACCTGAGTTGGGAGGTGAATGCTCGACCAACCGAAGTTTGGAGAATCATGGAGGTTCGCTTGACCAACTTGAGTTGGGAGAAGTTTGCTCGACCAACTGGGGAACTTCTCTTAACTCAGGTTGTGAGAAATATGGAAGCTCGCTCGACCAACCTGAGTTTGGAGGTGGCAATATCTTGAAGAATGTGCTAGTTCTTTCATAGGTGAAAAAATGTGGGAATCATAGCCTTTTGAGAGTCGAGTAAGTTCGACTTGATTCATCTAGGTGGGGACTTAGACAAAGTTTGGTAGAGTCATTTAAAGATGGTGATGTATACCTCCCACTCGACTCGGCTCATGCTGATGAGTAGACAGTGTATGCCGAGTAAAGCTTGTGGCCGAGTTGGCTTGACCGACTTGTAGTTGAAATTCAAAGCATTAGGCCTTGTGGCCGAGTCGGTGTGACTGACTTGTAGTTGAAATTCAAAGCATTAGGCCTTGTGGCCAAGTCGGCGTGACCCAAAAAATGGAGAAAGAATGGTTAAAGACTATCATTGACTAACCGAAAAATGCTAAACCCATAAACACCACTAGTTGGTACAACGTTAACAAGTACAACCTATCAACTTGTATCATCCAATCAACTAATTACACAACAAATGCATTCCTAGTAGAAATGATATTAAACGCTAATACAACTTGATTGAAATTAGTACCGAAGCAATTTAAAGTCATAATCAACATTTAATAATCTCAAACCGAAATTCAATTATGCAAAAAGTTATACATCAATAAACGTTCTCAATGGATCAATTCAGCACGTCGAGCATCAGAATAATATTAAAGCATCACAAACAAACTGAAACAAAAACAAATATAATCTGAATACAAGAAACTTAACCAAATGTCCAACATTCGGGCTCATCCAACTAGTCGAGAGCTGATGAAAAGAGCAATGGAGTCAATCCCGATCTCGCCTACGCCGTAACAGACAACCGGGAACTCAGCCGCTCATGGTGGTGATGACAGAGGCTGAAACGGTGGAAACGAAGCTGATCATGGCGGAGAGGAAGTAACCGACAGCGATATGATGCGAAGAAGGGGCAAAAATGACCAACGGACAACCCAGAATATGAACAGTCACACTCGCCGAAAAACGTTAACTTTCCTGCGGGTCTTCCGGAAAATGGTGGCGGAAATGGGATCCGAAGGTACCAATAGAAAGATCAGGTCCTGGGGAGCCCAACCGTCCTCGAAAAAAGCCAAAATCACGGCTGGAATGCGAAGCATCACGACGGCAGAATGTGAAACGTCGCGACAACAAATCGCGTCTCACGGTGGCGGGTGGAGGTTCGCAAGCCTGGAAGATGAAGGGTCGCCGGCTTGGAAGATGAAGGGTCGCCGGCCTGGAAGATGAAACGTCGCTGACCGGTGACCAAACTCCGGTGAGAGGCTAGGGTTTTTAGGTTTTGTTTGGCGTGTCTCCCTGTTTCACGACCTTCACCTAGAAATTTATACACATTGCGACAAATATCCATTTGGTCCCTACATATTGAAAAATGACAAAATCAACCCCAAATTTTATGACAATTTTACCCCTTAACAACATAAATGAGACAACATCAACCCTAGAAAATAAATCTCATCCTAATATCAACTTACTCGATCTCCAATTTCAATCCAAACATGCCAAATTAGTAAGAAAAACTCAAAATATGATTTTTATACATAAAATCATGATTTCTCTTAATTATCTCAGTATGATTTCATTTTAATCACACATAGGGTCTTTTTATCACCAAAATAGAGTCACTTTCATGACTCTAACCATAAACAAAAGGGAAATGTAATAAGCCAAACAAACTCATGGCCAAATGAGAAGAATGCATAGGATGCATGTGTTGAGCACTAAGTCAAATGGAGGTGAATGAGCCAAAGGAGGGACTTACCGAATGAGGTGTTTGGTGACTTGTCCTGCTGTGTCACCTTAAGCATGCTGAGTGAATATGAGAGAGGTTTTCCCCTTTATGTGTTGCTGCCCAACGAAGATGGCGAATTCTGGGTCTTTGATGAAGAAATGGCACCATTAGCAAGTGACTCCATTGAACATCTCAACACCAGTCACCAGCTCTGATCATAGAAGAGAGAATGAGAGAATGCAATGGTTCACGAAGTGGGGGAAAAAAGCGAAGTATCTTTCAATGAAGAGGTGTTGAGTTCAGATTGGTTCGAAAGAAAGAGAGCGAAGAGGGAGAGAAAGGGCAAGAGAGTGAATAATGATAATAATGAAGACTAGAGAGAGAGAGAGAGAGAGAGAGTGAGTGAGTGAGTGAGTAAGTGAATGAGTTAGTTTTTGGTTTGTTAAAAGGTGTTTTTCAGTTATTTTTTTCGTCGGTTAATGGCAAAAGTGAAAAATGCCATTTATCAAGTGTGCCAAGCTTCATTTATTTATTGGATGATGGAAATGGGGGTTTTCAAAGAGAATTGCTGGCGAAATCTATTTGGTTTTCCTTTGGATGGCGTTGGGAGAAAAGCTGGTGCTTTTAAACCTAAATTACAAATTTATGCTTCAGAGGGTGGAGTTCTACTATTTATGCCCCCACTAGACTCCACTCGATCTCGTTTGGCAAAGCCAAATGGGAAACAGAGACTGAGGTAGTGAAAACTGCTTGGGCCTATATGGTTGAGTGGAGTGAAGTCTTCATGATAGTTTGATGGATCAAGTGCTTTAAGAATTGTCTAAGTTGAGCCTTGTTTAGTGAGAGCAGGGTAGTGTCGAGTGGAGAAGTTCTCCATAAATTATTCTAAATGCAATCTAATCATGTGTTGATAGAGTCGATTGGAGATGGATGAAGATGAGGAATATGAGAACGCTTTGGCGTATGTGTCGGCTAGGCCGAGTGGAGATAGTCCAAGAGGTAGATGATGTTGGTTGAAGGGAGTTTCGTGTCTCCTCACATGTTGCAAGTCGTCATTGGTAGATGGTTATCAGGGCCCCACAGTGGGTGCCAAATTGCAGATGCAAAAAATCTATCGTTATAGAAATAAGGTCTGATCCCATGAGGTTTAGGCCACTGACAATCCGCTGGACCTACACACATGAAGAGACAAGCGTGAAGCTTATGGAAAACATCGGGGTGGTGTTTGCAGTAGGCACTCCGACGATCAAGTTAGTAAGGCTGAAAGAGAATATTCAATCAGAGTTAAGGAGAAGAAGGATTACCAAGTGTCTTATCGAAGGCCAAGACCACGACAAAGGTGTAGAATTCTCGAGAGCAAGAACTTAGGAGTAAGTATATGATTTTGAGTAGTGGAGATTGAATGAATTATGAAAAGGCAGACTTCTGTTTATATAGTGAACCCAAGGGGTTGGAATCCTAGTAGGACATTGAGTCCTACTTTGGAAGATAATCACTATCAGGAAAGAAATATGATTTCTTGCCTTTATCAGATTAAGTTTACTAGTTTGAGTAAGATTCATAATCTTAGTAGGAGAGGAAATAGAATGGGATTATGATTTCTTATTTATAGACTGTTGCAGGCTAATGGGTCGGAACCCAGTTTAGCTTAACTTATAGGATAGCCCAACTCATAGAGTGTGCAGTTCACAAGATGACTTTAAACATAGGCCCAATCGAAATTGGGCTAAAACCTTGGGTTGTGACATGTTTATTTCGTTATTATGCCTCGTTAGGCCTAAGACGATTTTTTGCCTATACACTTATGTAATCAAAGATTTGGATGATTTAGTTTTATTTGTTGGGTTTTTCCCAATTTAAATAAAAAAAAAAAATGGCACCAGCCAAAATTTCAAAACCCAGAAACCCTTAAAATTAATTTTATGTCCATGCCCCTTAAAAATGTTTTAGAGTTCCCGGATGCTCCTAAAAGTCTTGAGATTATTTAAAAAGGACGTCAATTTTAATTTTATATTCTCGTGACAGAAAGAAGTAATCAAATAATGTGTTGAACCTTTCATAGTTTATAATATTGCAAACCATGTACAAAAAAAAAAAAAGAAAGAAAGAAAGAAAGAAAGGCCTGCAACTTAATATTAATTAATAATCAAGAACCGGTATGAAGCATTTTTTTAAATTCATTTCTAATTAACCATACATGTTGTATGATAATTAATGAGCAATAGCAAAAAGAATATGAGTGTTTGGTAAACTATCTTTGAAATCTGAGTTTTAAAAGCTACATAAAGTGCTGGCTAAATTTTAATTCTAGAGTTGCCATGTGTTTAAATTGAGGAGATCAAAATAAAAGAGTTTGTTTTATAATAATTTATGCTATGCAAGTATATATAAGCTACAACAACAAAGAACAAGTTGATAAAAGTGGAACACTATCAAGACTCGGTCTTTCCACATAAAACGATAGCCCCATTGGCAGTAATTTTGCATAGAATTTCAATACATATAATAATGGGAAAAAACATAATATAAGACATGTAACTTTAATTGACTAATTCATACCTAAGTCACTCGGTTTTTCATCTTATCTTATGTCATAATTATTTGCTAATTATTTGGCTTCTTGCTATTATGTCACACAACATTATTATTATTTTTATAATTAAGGTAAAAAATAAATAAATGAGGCAAAATCACTGTACAAAAACTTATATCACAAACATTAAAATCATCAAAATATACAACATTGGAAAGTGTCTCAGAAACTGAAGATTCATGAGGTATAATATTTGACTACTTCAAGATATAAATTTGTGCAATATTAATGGAGACAATATGTAAAGGAAGGTGGGATCCCGCTATCTATTTCTCAATTAATAGGGTTTAAATAATTATAATAATTTTTGTCAACGATAGGAAAGTTCTTCCTCCATCAAACAATTTGCTTTCAAGCTTGAAGAGATTACTATATAAACGCTCTTCATTCTGTGTTGTTATCATTCAAAACTTGTTCATTAATCTCTAAGAAAGTAAGCAAAATGGCCAACATTTGGCCTCATTTGGTCTATGCATTGGCATTTTGCTTGCTGGCTACTAATTTAGTAGCTGCTGATTACAAGCCTTACACTTATGATTCACCACCTCTGTCGCACTATGTTTATAAGTCGCCGCCACCTTCGGCGTTTGCACCACGTTATTACTCCTATAAGTCGCCGCCACCTTTGGCGTTTGCACCACGTTATTACTATAAGTCGCCAAATCCATATTGGTATAAGTCCTCACCGCCACCTTCTCCATCACCTCCTCCTTACTACTATAAATCGCCACCACCTCCGAAAAAGTCGCCACCGCCTCCTTATTATTATAAATCGGCTCCACCTCCGAAAGCATCCCCTCCATCCCCATATTATAAGTCGCCACTCCCACCATCTCCGTCCCCTCATCCTCATGTTTATAAATCTCCACCACCACCTTCACCATCACCTCCTCCACCTTATGTTTACAAGTCACCCCCTTCTCCATCTCCCTTACCAACTCCTTATGTTTATAAAACTCCACCTCCACCATCTCCATCTCCTCCTCCTCCATATGTGTACAAGTCTCCTCCTCCTCCTCCATATGTGTATAAATCACCACCACCTCCTCCTTATGTTTATAAGTCTCCACCACCTCCATCACCATCACCTACCCCTCCGTACAAGTACAAGTCTCCACCACCACCTTCTCCATCACCTCCTCCTCCTCCATATGTCTACAAGTCACCACCACCTCCATCACCATCACCTCCTCCTCCTTATATTTACAAGTCCCCACCACCACCATCTCCCTCTCCCCCTCCTCCGTATGTGTACAAATCTCCTCCACCACCATCTCCATCGCCTCCACCTCCATATATCTACAAATCCCCCCCTCCACCATCTCCTTCACCACCTCCTCCATATGTTTATAAATCGTCTCCACCTCCATCACCATCACCATCACCTCCTCCTCCATACATTTACAAGTCTCCACCACCACCTTCGCCGTCACCTCCACCTCCATACATTTACAAGTCACCTCCTCCTCCATCACCATCGCCTCCTCCTCCTTATGTTTACAAGTCCCCACCTCCTCCATCTCCATCACCACCACCTCCTTACTATTATAAGTCTCCTCCTCCACCATCTGCTTCACATCCTCCTCCCTACTATTATAAATCATCACCACCACCTTCTCCGTCACCACCACCACCTTCTCCGTCACCACCGCCACCTTATTACTACAACTCTCCTCCACCTCCCAAGGGTTACTACTAAACATATCATACTTTATTCTCGGACCATGTCTGCTTCATCAATGTGCATTGTTAGCAGACAAATATTTGTTCACTTACATATTTTCTTGAGAAAGATTTGTTTAATTGAAAGCAATACTCGATTGCCGGTACTCAAAATATCTTGAAGAAGGCAACTCTGCAACTTCTTTGGAGCATTTTACTTTCATTCACTTGTACTTTTGAGACAGTTTATTTCTATTTTTATTCAATTAATTTCTTAATTATTCAACAAATAGTACTAGAAATTACAATTTCAAATGCGCTCTTAAATTTGTAAGCTCACTTGTTAAGGCATTGTGACAAACAAAATAATGTATGGTGAAAATTCTCAGGCTTCAAGCATTCGCATTTTCTTATAATTTGGACAAACGGTTTATTTATTTATTTTATCGTCAATTAATTAATAGTAGTAAACGGTGGTCTAAACAAGAAAGAAAAAATGCAAACATACATACATTAAAGAATTAATGAGTAACAAAATGAAGATATAGTTTAGTTTAGGGGGTGTTTGTCTGAGCTTATGAAAATTAGCTTATAAGCAACAATTGCTTATAAGCTAAAATTAACTTATAAGCATTTAAAATTTTAAACAATTACGTGTTTGGTTAAAATACTTATAAGTGACTGATAAGTAATTGACGTGTTTGGTAAAATGTGGCTTATAAGTACATTTTATTATAAAATTACTAAAAAATGTACTACATTAAACAATGACATACTATGGAATTTTAAAATTAAACAAGGATAATATGGTAATATACTTGGTCAAACTAGCTTATAAGCAAAGTGCTTATAAGCCAAAAAAAAAAAAAAAGTACCTCCCCCTCAACTTATTATTTTTAGCTTATAAGCTCAAAAAAATTATAAACAAACAGGTCAGCTTAATTTTAGAGCTTATAAGCAAATTTGACCAGCTTATAAACTTAGACAAACATCCCCTTAATCTTTCAGAGTCGTTTAGAGGCGGTTTTGTTTGTTTTTATGTTTTTAGGGGTGTTTTGTAATTTTTTGGCTGGTATTATTTTGGGACGATGGTTTAATTTACTTTTCCTTGTTTTTTCAACTTAGGATTTTAGGGGAGAACTATTTAAAGGCTATTTTCAGCCCTTAGAACGCAGGTTTTTTTTTTTTTTTTTAATTATATTTTATTGATGTATTGAGAAACTTGAGAGTTTTCAGTTTATTCAGTAATCGAATCTTAAAACAATTCAGTAGTGGTTTTTATATCATTTGTTCTCTTTAATTTCAGTCACCTCTCTTGATTGTTTTAGTATTAGTTTTGTTTTTCGATTTTAAGCAAAAGTTCCTCACCTTAGACCGGTATACTTAATTAAAGGGACTTGAAATTTATAAACTCATCCAAACTTTTATTTGTTAGAGTTACGAGGTATGGAATGCGATAAATTGATCACTTTAGATTCTTTTGCAGTACGTACGTTTATAAAATTATTAATTATATACCATTGATTTAAAAAGGACTTAGTTTTTACCGTTTTAAATATATAAATCGACCTTTATATTATATATACCACCCTTGTATTATGAGTTTTACTCGTTTGGCCGTTTTGGAGTGTGTTGTCGAAAATCATGGCATTCTGACACGTCGACACTATTCACCCTGTGGAGCCTGCATCAAAAACTGTACAAACTAGTCACCAATAAAATATATCTCAATTGAGTCTAGATGATTACAGAATGGACAATACCATATCTAATTAGTTGAATAATATAGAACGGCGATATGAAAATAATTTAATTAATTGGAATAATACCAAATGCTGTATTGAGATTCGCTAATTAATATTTATATAAAAGAGTAAATTAACGACTTTTCCATATCAAATGAGACTCCGTTTGAAGATAAATTTGATTAGATTATCAACTTGCTTTCATTTATCACACATTTTCTAATCAAATCCAACTCTTTCTCGATATATCCCTCAAAAAATCCGATTCGTGTAAAAAAAACAAATTATATTAGATGACGTTTTGACTAATTCACTACTTATCACTCGGTTTCATCGATCATATTATGTCCTCAGTTTTCCCTTCTTTATTAATAACCACCCTTTGAGACTTCTTCTTAGTAGAAATTCTTAAAATATAAAGCATAAAATAAAAAAATTACATCATCTTTAAAATAAGAAAAAGTCACAAAAGAAGCCGCTGTGAAGCAATTATCATTTCTTTTTTTGTAATGAAAACATAAAATTGACTTTGTAAAATAAAATAAATAGAATAAACACAAATAGTTAATTAATCTCTTTTAAATTCGAAACTCAGCGGTATTATATTGACAGAAGATTACAGCTTTACCAAACAAATATACAAAAACTCTATTCACTGAACCTGTTTTTTTTTGCATTACAATAGCTAATTATTTTATATTTATGATTATAATTCATTTATAATTATATTTCATGCAGAAAAAATTGACTGCTTCAAGATATAAATTTGTACAATCGTAAAACATGTAAAGGCAGTGGGATGAAGGCTTAAAATAAATAAATTTTGTCAGAGATAGGAAATTCTTCCATAATTAAACATTAATTTCAGGCTTGAAGAGATTGCTATATAAACCCTTTCATTCTTTGTTGATATCATTCAAAACTAGTTCTTCAATCACTAAGAAAGTAAGCAAAATGGCAAAAATTTGGCCTCGTCTGGTTTATGCATTGGCATTCTGTTTGGTTGCTACAATGTAGCTGCTGATTACAAGCCTTACAATTTTGCTTCACCATCACCTTATTATCATAAGTCACCAATTCATACCGTTACAAGTCTCCTCCGCAGCCTTCTCCACCTCACCTCATTACTATTACAATCGCCACCGCCGCCGCTCAATCACCTCCACCTCCTTATTACTTAATTCACCTCCACCTCAAAAGCATCTCCTCCACACCAGTATTACTATAAGTCACCACCTCCGCCATCTCCATCACCTCCTCCTCCTTATGTTTATAAGACCCTGCCACCACTTTCGTCTTCACCTCCTGCTCCATACTTTACAAGTCACCACCTCCACCATCTCCGTCCACTCTCCTCCTTATGTTTACAAGTCCCCACCACTACCATCTCCATCACCACCTCCTCCATATGTCTACAAATCACCACCTCCACCTTCTCCTTCACCACCTCCTCCATATGTCTATAAGTCGCCGCCACCGCCATCACTATCACCTCCTCCTCCATATATGTACAAATCTCCTACCCCACCATCTCCATCACCTCCACCTCCATATGTTTACATCTTGCAGCATGATGAAGCTGAACATCAACGAACGAAATCATGCAGCACATGCAGCATGATGGAGCTGAAGCACAACGAATGAATCTGTTACTTAGTTAGTCTGTTATCAAGTTAGTTAACAGTTAGTTAGCAGTTTGATAACTGAATTTTAATCTGTTTAAGTTTGTTAAATAGTAGTTAGAAGTTTGTTAGTAGTTAGCAGTCCGTTAATCCAGCTCAGCTCAGATAAGTTGGCTATCAATAAACACATTGTATATAAGGGTAAGCTACTGTAACTTAGTTTTTTCATTCTGTAAAATCATTGATTCTTAAATGAAGAAGTATTTTTCTCAGAATCATTTCAGAATCAGTTTTGCATGGTATCAGGCTTCATTAAAGCAAATTTTTTTCTTTTACATCCATTACGCTTCTGCATTCACAATGACTACTTCAACAAATGAAGATTCCACCAGTTTTTCCAGTCCTTATTATCTGCACCTTAAGGAGAATCCTGCTGCAATTTTAGTCTCTCCAGTTCTCAATGGCACTAATTACCATCTTGGAAGCAAGCTATGAAAATGGCTCTATTGTCAAAGAACAAGCTGAAATTTGTAGTGGCATATCAAAGCACCCTCTAGTACAGATTCTCTGTTTTCAGTCTGGAAGATGCAATACAATGGTATATTACTTGGCTCACTCATTCACTTTCTCCATCAATTACCAATAGCATATTATGGATTATAAAGCATATGATGTATGGACTGACCTTTATGAAAGATTTTCCAAGGAGATATTTTTAGAACTTCAGATTTGCAAGAAGAAATCTACAGTTTTAAGCAAGGAGATAAAAAGTAAGTGATTACTTCACTGAATTAAATCCTTTGGGATGAATTAATGATCTTCAGACCTCTTCCATTATGCACATGTTCCACTCCTTTTCTTGTGGAATCTTGAACACTTTTAAAACCTATCGAAACAATGACTATGTGATAGGTTTCTAAAGGGCTTGAATGACTCTTTCACTGTTGTAAGATCACAAATCATGCTGATGGATCCTCTGCCTTCCATAAACAAGGTTTTCTCTTTAGTTTTCAACAAGAAAGACATTGAGTTTGAGGTGCCAAGGTATTCGTCAATAGATCTGATCGAGAAAGTGCTCAGTTCCCTTCAAAATCCCAGCAACAATTTCAACAGCAGAGAGTTCAGTCTTCCAAGTACCAACAAGGCAGAAAGTATACTCAATCTTCTGGTGGATGGGATAATCGCTTTTGCACCTACTGTGTAAGCCCAGACACACATAGAAACATGCTATAAAAGCATGGCTACCCACCAGGATACAAGCCTAGGATTCTACTGCCCACATGTCGTTGCCACAGAAGAAAACAATAACACTGAAGGTCTGCAGATACATTCTGATATGCCGTTCAAACCAAGAAACACTCTGTTTCTACTGTTTCCTTTACTCCACAACAATATCAGCAACTATTGGCTCTACTACAACCAGCAAATTCTGCTCAAACTTCACATACTACCACCAGTTGTGTCACAACCCCATCAGCCAACATTAATCCCACATTTTTCTTCCACACAGGTACTCATTTAGCTTTATCATGTACCTCTAAATCTCCATTATGGATAGTAGATACTGGAGCCACTGATCAATACAACCACTTATCATGTTTTGACACTTACAAACAAATTAAACCAATCTTAGTCACTTTACCAAATGGCTCGAAAATCACTGCCCAATATGCTGGAACAGTCTGCCTAAATAACCAACTTATTCTCACAGATGTCTTATACTTGCCTGAATTTTCTTTCAACCTTATCTCTGTAACCAAACTTACATCTTCAATAAACTGTTGCTTAATATTTCAAAGTTCATGTTGCCTGATTCAGGATCTGACTGTATGGAAGACGATTGGTTCAGCTAAAGTGCTTGATGGCCTATATGCAATGACAAAATCATGCAGTTCCAATGTTCTGCCACCTACTCAGTTCACATTACCTGCTTCAGCTTCCTTCGCTTCAACAACTACTGTTTTTGATCTTTGGCATCATCGCCTTGGTCACATCTCAGATCCTAGAATGAAACTCTTATCTTCTAGTATTCCTAATCTTCAATTTCATAATAATGAAGCATGTAATATTTGTCATTTGGCCAAACAAAAGAAATTACCTTTCCCTGTTAGTAATACTAAAACCAGTGCATGTTTTGATCTGATTCATGTAGACATTTGGGGTCCTTTCTCTACTTGTTCCATTCATGGCCATAAATTTTTCTTAACCATTGTTGATGATCATTCAAGGTTCACATGGATATTCTTACTTAAACAAAAAATCAGAAGTAAGAAATTTAATTCAATCTTTTTTCTTACTTATTGAAACTCAATTCTCCAGAAAAATTAAAGCCATTAGGTCTGACAATGGTTCAAAATTTACCATGCCTATTTTCTATGCTTCGAAAGGAGCTTATCACCAAACTTCTTGTGTTGAGACACCCCAACAAAATGGTGTGGTGGAAAGAAAGCATCAACACCTGTTAAATGTTGCCCGATCTTTGCTTTTTCAGTCTAACCTACCCAAAATGTACAGGAATTATGCTATTGGTCATGCCATTCATTTGATAAATCGGCTTCCCACTCCCTTATTGCAAAACAGATCCCCATTCCAATTGCTTTACAATACCCTCCCAGATTACAACTCCTTAAAAACCTTTGGCTGCCTCTGCTTTGCTTCTACTTTATAAGCCCATAGAACAAAATTTGATTTTCGGGCTAGAAAGTGTCTTTTCCTTGGCTTTCCCTCTAGCACCAAAGGTTTCATTCTCCTGGACTTACATTCCAGAGAAATTTTTACCTCCCGAAATGTCTTGTTCTATGAGTCAACTTTTCCATTTGTTGACAATTCTCAATCTCCTACTCCTTTACCTCGGGACAGCACTTTACCATTTTTTGATTCTGTCATTTCTTCTCAACCACCAGATAATTCTTCTTCCAATTCTTCAAACACTTCTCTTCCTTCTTCTCATCAACCTGTCACCCGCATATCTCATCGGCATCATAAGCCTCCCTATTATCTGCATGATTATCATTGCAACTTGGCCACAGCAGCTGAAGCTTCCACTTCCCAGTCAGGTATTCTTTATCCTTTATCCTCTGTATTATCATATTCTGGCTTATCCCCCAAACACTTACATTACACCCTTGCCCTTTCCACAACTGATGAACCAAAAACCTACAATCAAGCCATCAAACATGATTGTTGGAAAGCAGCTATGCAAGCTGAAATTTCTGCTTTAAACCAGAATAATACTTGGACTCTCACTGATCTTCCTCCTGGAAAAACCCCCATTGGCTGTAAATGGGTTTATCAGATCAAAAGAAAGGCTGATGGCACAATTGAGCGTTACAAAGCTCGTTTAGTTGCCAAAGGATATACCCAAACCGAAGGTATTGATTACTTTGATACATTCTCTCTTGTAGCTAAGCTTACAACTGTTAGACTCCTTCTGGCCTTGGCTGCTTCTTCGAACTGGTACCTGAAACAACTTGATGTGAATAATGCTTTCCTGCATGGGGATTTATCTGAAGAAGTTTACATGGTCTTGCCTCCAGGTTTCAGCTCTTCCTATCCCAATCAGGTTTGCCGTCTTCAAAAGTCCCTTTATGGACTCAAACAGGCCAGTCGTCAGTGGTTCTCCAAGCTTACTTCTGCTCTATTATCTTTCGGCTACACTCAATCATCTTCTGATCATTCACTTTTTGTTAAACACCATAATGGTTCTCTTACAGCTCTCTTGGTGTATGTTGATGATGTTATCTTGGCAGGAAATGATTCTCCAGAAATTGATCGTGTAAAAGCCTACCTTGATGCTACCTTCAAAATAAAGGATCTCGGTGATCTCAAATTCTTTCTTGGTTTGGAAGTTGCCCCTTCCAAGCATGGCATTTCTCTCTGACAACGTAAATATGCCCTTGAAATCCTATCAGACGATGGCTATCTAGCATGTAAACCTGCCACTACACCGATGGATTCTTTCATAAAGTTATCTAACACAGATGGTGATCTTCTCTCAGATCCCACTTCTTAAAGAAGGTTAGTTGGACGTCTCCTCTACTTAACCTCTACCAGACCTGACTTATCTTTTGCTGTTCAGCAATTAAGTCAGTTTCTTGACAAGCCAACTTCAGCACATCTTCAAGCTGCCCATCGTGTTCTTCGGTATGTTAAAGGTAGTCCAGCTTATGGTCTGTTCTTTCCTGTCTCCTATACACTCAAATTACAAGCCTTCAGTGATAGTGATTGGGCTAGCTGTCCTACTACTCGCAAGTCCATCACTGGCTTCTGTGTATTTCTTGGCTCCTCTTTGATAAGTTGGCGTGCTAAGAAACAAACCACTGTGTCCAGATCAGCCTCCGAAGCTGAGTATCGTGCTCTTGCCTCCACAACATGTGAAATTCAGTGGTTACATTACCTACTTCAAGATCTTCATGTCATTCATTCCCATCCTGCTTTGCTCTTCTGTGACAACAAGTTTGCCCTTCAGATTGCTGCCAATCCCACGTTCCATGAGCGAACCAAGCACATCGAAATAGAATGCCATGTTGTCTGACAGAAGGTTCAATCGAGTCTTATTCATCTCATGCCATGTTCTTCTTCTGATCAGTTAGCCGACTTACTCACTAAAGCCCTTTCTCTTGCACCATTTCGCCCTAATCTGTCCAAGCTGGGAATGTTAAGTATCCATTCTCCAGCTTGCGGGAGGCTCTTGCAGCATGATGAAGCTGAAGCATCAACGAACGAAATCATGCAGCACATGCAGCATGATGGAGCTGAAGCATCAACGAATGAATCTGTTACTTAGTTAGTCTGTTATCAAGTTAGTTAGTTAATCTGTTTAAGTTTGTTAAATAGTAGTTAGAAGTTTGTTAGTAGTTAGCAGTCCGTTAATCCAGCTCAGCTCAGATAAGAGTTGGCTATCAATAAACACATTGTATATAAGGGACTAAGCTACTGTAACTTAGTTTTTCATTCTGTAAAATCATTGATTCTTAAATGAAGAAGTATTTTTCTCAGAATCAGTTTTGTCACATACGTTTACAAGTCCCCACCTCCTCCGTCTCCCTCTCCTCCTCCTCCATACATTTACAAGTCATTGCCACCACCTTGTCCTTCACCTCCTCCTCCATATATCTACAAATCACCACCACCACCACCTTCTCCTTCACCCTCTCCTCCATACATTTATAAGTCACCCCCACCCCCATCTCCATCACCACCTCCTCCATATGTCTACAAATCACCACCACCACCCTCGCCTTCACCTGCTCCTCCATACGTTTACAAGTCTCCACCACTGCCTTCTCCATCACCTCCTCCTCTATACATTTACAAGTCACCACCTCCTCCATCACCATCACCTCCTCCTCCTTATGTCTACAAATCCTCACCTCCTCCATCTCCATCGCCACCACCACCTTACTACTATGGGTCTCCTCCCCCACCATCTCCTTCACCTCCTCCTCCATACTATTACAAATCACCACCACCTACCAAAGGTTACTAAACAAGTCACTGATTCCACTCGAAGCTACTCCACTTCATCAATACACAATGTTGACAGACAATATTTGTTGACTACATTCTGGAGCCAGATTTTTTTACTTTAATTCATTATTGTAAACTTCTTTGAAGCATTTCAATTTTCACTTATTTTTGTACTGTTTTACTTCTAATCTTACACATTTACTCTATTCAATAAATTAATACTTCTGACTTTAAAGTTTAAATTCATAGATAAAGGTCTAATTAATATTTAATATTAAAGTGAATTTAAAAAAAAAAATTATATAGCACCAATTTGACCTGGTTCTTAAATATTAAATCAAAGAAAGAAACTAAGTTTTAGCAAGAGTTAACATAACAATAAGGTTGGCACTCGACTATAACTTTAGAATTGATAAACAAGTCTCAATCACAGAAACTTAGGTCTAAAAGCCTAAAATAAAATCTGAATAATCATTGAATGATATCCAAAAACGAATAATATGTTTATATAGGGTGACAATCAACCCTAACAAGACTCCGAATAAACAAGAAACAAAATCCAAATTAATTATAAAAAAAATCCTAAATAAAATAGGAAAAAATGCGCAAAAAACTAAAATGGCCTCGAAGCATGCCGAAATGATGGATTTTAGGACCGAAAACGTTCCCCAACCAAGGAACTTGGTTTCCATGTCGTAGGGCTCGAAACGAACTTTTTGTTGATATATTATGAGTCCCGTAACTTCTCCTTGATCAAAAGTTATGGTAGTTTAAAGCTGGTTTGTCCGCGTTTAGGCTTTTGACACTCAGTCCCAACCAAGAATTCATCTACTAAACATTCTACGTAATATTAATTTTATGAACAAAGCTGATAGTTTTTTACTAAACTATAAAAATTAAGAGTCAATTATACATTCAATTAATTATGTCACTAGAAGATGTGGGCACAAATATTGGAGGACACAGATACTTTTGTATAGCTACAGATGGAAACTTCTGATTACCATAAATTCAAATCTTCCATCATCTTAATTATATTTATTTCCAAATTGCTATTAATTAATCAAAATATTGATCATTGTTAGTAAGGGAGAGAAACGTTTAACTCTAATCTGTTAGTTTGTTGTTACTTTTCTGTTAACATTCAGTTCGTAATAACAAGATTAGTTAGAGATTAATTATACTCATGTAAACACTATAAAAGTGTACAATGTAACTGAACAAATATCAAGAAAAAGAAATATACCAAGTTTTCCAGGTTTTTCTCTTTCTCGTGTTGTTCCTCTACTCTTCTTCCTTTTCTTTCTTACTTTACTCAAAGTTTGACATGGTATCAGAGCCATTGACTAGCGTAAAAAAATGGTTGATCTAACACATCTTTCTTCTAATTCAGCTCATAAATTATCTACTGGTTCAGTCCATTGTGCAAGTTCCTCATCAATGTCTTACTCAGCTCTTCCTGTAATTTCCCCTAAACTAACTAGGGATAATTACAGATTTTGGAAATCCCAAATTCTGTTCGTAGTTGGATCTCACGATTTAGAAGAGCACCTCACTGGATTAGTCTCATGCCCAGCTCCATTTATCAAGATTCAAGCTGAAAACTCAGAAGGAACCATGGAGAAAAGACCTAATCCAGAGTACAATCAGTGGAAGAAAACAGACAAATTACTTGTAAGCTGGCTTCTTAGCTCAATCTCTGAATCTATGTTTAATGTAGTTTCAAAATGTTAATTTTCTGCTGACATGTGGATTACCTTGGAGAAAGAATTTCTTACTGAATCAAGAACCAAAACATTGCATGTTAAGAATTTGCTGCAAAATACTAAAAAAGACAATCTAAATATTCATGAGTATTTCGTTAAAATGAAAGGATTTGCAAAAATCTTGTCTGGTAGTGGAATTGTTGTTACCGATGAAGAACTTTTAAACTATATACTTGATGGATTAAACTCTGAATATGTCCTGCTATAGTGAATATAACTACCAGATTAGAGTCTTGCTTAGATCCATTAACAATTCAGGAAGTGCAGATCATTCTGCAGAAGTATGAACTTAGGTTAGAGAAAGCAAATTTGGCCTTGAATTTTGTTATTAACACTGAGTTCAGTGGGGGGGTCAGTTCATCTTGCTAATATCTCTACAAATGAACCTGAGAAGAAGTATCAGAATGAATTGCAATCTAAGTTCAATTTTGGACAACTCAGCTCTGGGCAATCTAGCTTTGGACAGCCTCAAGTTCCCAGTCTAGTTTTTCAAACTCCTAGTTTCAAACCTCATCCATACACCTCTACACAATCCATTCCCAATCCTAATCACCCTATTAACCCATCATTTTACAACCCATCTTACTTTCCTTAATTTGGTGGTGGCCGAGGTAGAGGCAAAGGTGTTGGAAGAAACATACTGATATGTCAAGTTTGTGAAAAAACTAGACATTTAGCATTAAACTGCTATCACTGATTTAATACTAGTTTTACTGGAGCAAATGATGTGCCAGGAAAAAACAACTTTGCTCAGAATTATCTCAGATCACCGGAGAACTTTTAGCCACAATTTTACCCTCCACATGTTCCTTTCAACTCCAGTGCACATAATCCTCTGACTTCACAGCTTGACTTCTCCAATACTGTCTCACATAGTTCAAGTGCTAATTCAGTTGGATTTCCAACCATTTCTTAATCAGCTCCAGTGCAGTCTCAGATATCATCTGGATTAGAACTGTTAGGATATGAAGAAAACTGACTTGTGTTGACCATTGATATAGCTGACGTGTCAGGAAGTTAGTTACATTTCTGTTACAGTGCACATGTAGTGCACGTGTATATAAACACATGTATCACCTTCTTCATCAAGTTAATCAATAACAAGCCTGAGATTCTTTCCCTTTTTTGCTCTGTTTTTCTGCGTTTTCTATCAGTATTCTAAGTTGGTATCAGAGCCATTGACAAACGTCAAGAATGGCTGATCTCTCTCAAAATCTTTCACCTCTTCACAAAATAGACAATAGTTCAAGCTCTAAACACACTTTTGACTCAAATAATCTCATCAATTCTGCTACAATGACGTCTTCAACACTGCCTGTGATTTCAGCTAAACTAACAAGGGACAACCACCGCTTTTGGTAATCACAGATTCTCTTTATAGTTGGAGCTCACGATCTTGAAGAACATCTTATTCGTTTAATACCATGTCCAGCTCCTTTCATGAAAGCCTTATTAGATGGTACACAATCAGAGGTAATTAAAAAACCTAATCCATAATACATGCTTTGGAAGAAAACTGATAAGATGTTAGTTAGTTGGTTATTGTCATCAATTTCAGAATCTATGTTTGCGGTGATCTCTAAATGTCAATTTGCCATTGATATTTGGCTCACATTGGAAAAATAATTCTTGACTGAATCTAGAGCTAAAACACTTCACATTGAAAACCTCTTACAAAACACAAAAAATGATAACATGAGAATACATGATTACTTTTTAAAAATGAAGAACTATGCTGAGAGTTTATCATCAAATGGAGTGGTGATTACTGATGAAGAGTTGTTGAATTATATTCTGGATGCTCTTGATTCAAACTATGACGCTGTTGTTGTTAATATAACAACTAGACTTGAATCTAAGGTTGATCCAATATCTGTCCAGGAAGCTCAGATTGTCTTACAAAAACTTGAACTTAGATTGGAGAAAGCACATATCATAATGAACACAATGATTCATAATGAGTTTCATAGTAGTTCAGCTAATGTTGCTAGTATTTCAGTGGATAATGAGAACAAGAAACTGGAATCTGATCAATCATCACAACTTCCTGGAAATCAATATAACACGGTGACCTCATCTATACCATAATTCACGAGATTCAATTCCTCCTACTTACCTACTGCTCAGAATTCACCTGTCTTTGCTACACCTCAGCCGCAACCTTACTTTAATAATCAGTTTTCTGGAGGATATGCCGGTGGCCGAGGTAGAGGACGTACAGGAGGTAGAAACAGGTTTATTTGTCAAGTTTGTGGGAAAGCTGCTCATCTTGCTTTACACTGCTATCATCGGTTTGATGTAAATTACACAGGGAATAATTCGTATATCAGGGGCAATTTCTATTCACCTGGTTTTGTGAGATCATTTAAATTTCCACTTGGAGGATAATACTTTTCTGCTCCTTTGCATCATTACTCACAGGCAGTTCTTCAAGACCATTATCACCGTACCAAACTGGATATCATACTCACCAACCACTGTTCAAGATGCTGCTTGGTATATGGATTTAGGAGCCACATATCATGTTACTTCAGATTTTTCCCAGCTCACAACAAGTTCTCCCTACACAGGAAATGAACAACTCTAGGTTGGCAATGGTGAGTTGCTATCAATCTCTCACACTGGTTCTGGTATATTACTTTATCCTGTTAAAAATTTACATCTCAAACATGTCTTATTTGTTCCTCATATCACAAAAAAAATTTCTTAGTGTATCCAAGCTCACTAGAGATAATGATGTTCTTGTGGAATTCTTTACTGATCACTGTGTGGTTAAGGATAAATTATCCAAGGTCATTCTTCTTCACGGGGTACTTAAAGCTGGACTTTATCGCCTTCAAGTTCCAGTTCACTCATTTCCTCAATCTAATGGAGTTTTGGATCCTTCAATCTCTTTAAAGTCCACCAGTAGTAGTCTTGTTCCTTACTTTAGTGTCTTTAATAAAAATGTTGATGTTTTGTCTCAAACTCAGAAATTGTGTTCAACCTTCAATAAGTGTACACCTTTGAATGTTTCTGTCAATAATCAGTCCTATATTAGTCTCGTTAATCCTCTTGTATCTGTTCCTATTTCAGTTGTAATTGATACTTCTATTGGAAATAAATTAAATGTCTTTCTAGCTTTCAAAACTGACTTTATGCTATGGCATAAACGTTTTGGTCAAATCTTTACAATTACCTCATCCTGCAAAACCAGATATTAAATTCTGCCAAGCTTGTCAATATGGCAAACTGTATCAATCTACTTACCCCAAGTCTGATTTTCAAGCATCTCAACCTCTTGAACTCATTTATTCAGACCTTTGGGGACCTTCATCTATCACCTCTCCTGAAGGCTTTAGATATTACATTCAAGTTTTTGATGATCACACTAG